TCATAGATGGCCTCCTTGGCCGGAACAGGACGAGCAGAGAGTTCATAGACGGCCTCCTTGGCCGGAACAGGACGAGCAGAGAGTTCATAGACGGCCTCCTTGGCCGGAACAGGACGAGCAGAGAGTTCCTCGGCGGCCTCCTTGGCCGGAACAGAACAGACAGAGAGTTCACGCGCCGCCACCTCTGGAGAAACTGCAGCGGGCACCATCGCTTCGGGGAACACAGCAGCGAGCACCACCACCTCAGGAGAGACTGTAGCTTCAGCCACCGACTCTGCAGACCTGATAGTGGGTGCTGCCGCCTCTGGGAGTTCTGTGGAGGTGTATGCAGCCCAAACGCAACAAAAGGCGATCCCCATCAGGGGAAACACTTCAGACAGGGGAATTAGTTCATGAACAGAAGGGTTAGTGTGAGTGGGTTTGGGGATACCAGCGGTGCGTGCAGACACCAGCGGTGCATCCCTCACACTGGATACCAGACTGGGATACCGAAGGACTGACCTTGAGAATCTGGGTGTGACAGACAGGACGTGACATGACATGACTCTGGAGCTGTGATGCAACGTGATTCTGGATGAAGAACTGAGACGTGACGAGACTCTGGACGAACTGAGACATGGCGAGACTCTAGAAAATCAGCTGTGACGTAACGAGGCTCTGGCAGCTCAGCTGAGACTTGACTCATGACGATCAACTGCGACTTGACTCATGAAGATCAGTTGTGACTTGACTCATGAAGATCAGCTGTGACTTGACTCATGAAGACCAGCTGTGACTTGACTCGACTCATGAAGATCAGCTGTGACTTGACTCATGAAGACCAGCTGTGACTTGACTCGACTCATGAAGATCAGCTGTGACTTGACTCATGAAGACCAGCTGTGACTTGACTCGACTCATGAAGATCAGCTGTGACTTGACTCATGATGATCAACTGTGACTTGACTAGACTCATGATAATAAACTGTTACTTGACCTGACTCATGATGATCCACCGTGACTAGACACGACTATCAGTTGTGACTTGACCAGACTCAGGATAATAAACTGTGACTCGATTTGACTCATGACGATCAACTGTGACTAGACTCGACTCAGGAAGATCAACTGTGACTAGACTTGACTTGGGAAGATTAGCTGTGGCTTGACTGAACTCAGGAAGAACAGCTGTGACTAGACTTGACTCATGATACTGAATTGTAACTTGACTAGACTCATGATAATGAACTGTAACTTGACTTGACTCATGACGATCAACTGTGACTAGACTCGACTCAGGAAGATCAACTGTGTGTGGCCGCCATCTTGCGATCAGGCTCCGCTGCTGCCGCCATTTTGTGAGCGTGCTCTGGTACAGCCACCACTTCAGTCACACACACATTGTGTCGCGTTCTTCCTCCGTGACACCCTCAGTAAATACAGATCCGACAGTCAACAAAGCATAATCCATGAACTGAGCGAGTGACGAACGTGGAGCCTCGCGTCTAAGCTTAGCCCTCAGAGGTTGATTTATGCCATCGCAGGTTCTCCAGTGATCGTGGACCCTGTTTAAGGGCTAACAAAATCCTTGCGGTGTCCATACCTAGCCAATGCTCCTCAGAAAAGCTCCTCAGAAAAGCTGCTGGATCCTTGTTTGGCGGAGTATTCTGTAACGGTGCTGACGAGACGTGAGACGTGTGGATCCATCTGCAAGCTTTTA